AACTTCTATAAATATACTAGGTTATTAAAGGTTTGTTAATTTCTGCTTTCGTGAAGCTCTGCTGTCCTGATGTGAAAGTGTTTGCGAAAGGGCAGATGCTGTCTCTGTGGGGAAGTGTAGAAGGTTGTTGCAAGGATTGCAGTTAACTTAACAACTGGCCGTATGCATTCACGTGAAGATGGACCCCTAATTCTGACATCAGCTAGAAATCGTGTTAGGCAACACAAATTGTTATGAAGTTATTATTAAGGCAAAAGGATACATTTTTTGTTACCTACTAAAATCGCAACATTTAGTGTACCACTGTAAAAAAAGTTATCCCATTTGTGCATTAGAAAATGTTGTTTCATAAGTCTTACTCAAATTCCAAACGTTTAAAGAGCCTGTAATGCAAAATAAATTCTTCGTGATTGTATTTTTTTCCTGCCCAGTCGGAAATGTCGATTTTGGTAAGCTTAAGAAGAATACATTTACTGTCCAGGAATGCAGAGATTTTTTCTACATAAAAAGGTGGGCAATTTTGGACATATGAAAGCATTATGATACTGAATCATTGCAGTTCTATAAAAAAAACCATCAGATAATTCATAACAATTGTTAAAAAGTTGTAACTTTCCTATCTTATATACAAAAGAATGCGGGTTTTACAGCAATTTTCTTATATTAATCTGAAAAGTACACACGACCTGATACCCGCAATTTTCCCGCTGACCCTGGTAGGCTAACTTCGTGTTCACGATTTGTGTGTTTTTTTTTCCTACCCGATTCCCAAACTGAATAGAGCTTCGCGCCAAAATTGCGGGACATTTGGCATTGCCTAAATCACACATGAACATGAAACTAAAACTTAAAGGTAACAAAGATATAAAGGAAAATTGGGTTTCGAAGAAGTCCCTGTTGATACATTGTAACATGACCTTTCATTTCAAAGGAAAAGTTATTTGGAAGGAATTTATGATGTAGTCCCCTCGGGAACCGAAGGAGGATCGTCACGTAGGAAAGACTGTAGTATAGTGCGAATAAGTCTTCGGCTCAACATCCTACAACCTCGATGAATCTGTGCTAAGCTTTTGTTGGTACCGCCGGAACAGACACCCACACTTTACAAAATAGCACAAAAAATGTACTAAATCCAGAGTAAATGTGGTCGGCTGCAAGCCTAATCACTTTTTTGTACACCTACCCTTGCGATCTTAATGAGGTATCCCATAATTTTGTTGGCTACCTCAAACCTACTCTACTTCACGAACCTAAGGTGTATTCGATGATAGCTGTTTTTTGACACAAATAAAGAAGCGTAAGATCTTCAAATGTTGATTTATGGTTGGTTCTGTGCTATTGCTTATTGTGTCTATGTAATGTTCATATAATGGTCTTCCTGCTCTCTCTCCCTCTCCCTCTCTTTAAGCCTGTCCAACTGCCATAAATAGTTTCCACTCAATTTCCTACATTGGTTCCTTCTATTGAGGACATTGGCCATTGCACAAGAGAGGAAGGCTGGATTAGCCTCAAGTCTAATCACATACACACAATAAACAATAGCACAACCCCAACCACGAGTGAACATTAGAAGATCTTATGCTTTTTTATTTGTGTAATAAAACAACTGCCATCGAATACACTTTCGGTTCGTGAAGTAGAGTAAGTTTGAGGTAGCTAACCAAATCATGGGATGGCTCATTAAGCCCGCAAGGTTGGGTGTACAAAAAAAGTGACTATGGTTGCAACCGGCCATCTTTTCTCTTGGTTTAGAGTACATGTTTTCTACTGTTTCGTAAAGCATTGACTCAACCTCTGAGGATGTCTGTCCAGGCGGTACAGACGAAAGTTTAGCACAGGTGCATCGGGCTCACAGAACGGTGAGCCGATGAGCCCTTCGCACAATACAACAACCTTCCATACGCGGCAATCCTTCTTGGATTTTCTGTCAGAGGACATCACGATTTCTTTTCACAACCAAATTGTTCTTCGAAATGGAAAGTCATGTGACATGAACGGCAACAAAGCAATTATGGGATGAAAACTTGGTTTAATAGTAAGATTTTTTGTGATTTTAGAATTGACATAATGCAAAGCTGCAACCACTGGAGCATCACTGCTCCGTGCATACTAATGATGTTAGAGCAAACACTGGGTAAATAAGTTGGAAAAGCCTTATTTGAGAGATGTTTTCGCTCTATTTGGTTTAAGGTGATGATGGACTTGTAGTATAATTTTGCCAAAAATATGAATAGGCGCCAAGTTTCCATCACCTTTAGCATCGCGGGGCTTTTCAAAAGGTATGTGCATCCATGATGTAAAGAAAGACCATGTTCCCACCAACGGAAACGTAGGTCTACTCATACGATTGTGGAAAAATTCAACTATGAAAATAGGTGAATACAGCTCTCAGATCAGATCTACCAGTAGTCTCGAAAACCCAATAATAAACGGAAAAAAAGCCCTACCCAAGCTATGAAGTACTTCAACAAGAAGTCGACATCAATTGGAGTGCTCCATTTGTTGTCAGCATCAGAGCCTGAGCTCTCCTCACGCCCGGTTTCTACACCCCCTCGGCCCGCTCTCTTCCTCGCCTTGGCCCCAACTTCGTTCTCGCTCTCACCCTCGTCTTCGTCCTCCTCCTCGCCCTCGACCTGGTCCATCTCACCGTCCGATGAGTGCAGCATCAGATGGCGTAGCAACGACAGCAATTTCCGATATCCCCCAGCTTCACGAAAGGCTCTCCTACGCTGGTCGACCGTGATAAGTCGATGCTCCAGAGGTCGAAGACGTGTCCCTCTGACTGGTCTGCGATGGCCGAGGGGCTGATCGTTGAGGCTTGCGTTCAGAGCAACACTCCGATCTCGGACAGACGACGAAACATCGTCTGTATCGGCCGGTTGAATGGTGGCCTTGGAGATATCGTCATGCTTCATTTCTGTACATTTGTTATAGCCGTCGTTTTCTTGCAACAGTTTCTTCTCTTTATCCACCACCTTCTTTCTCACCTCATCATTTTCTTCTTTGACTTCCACTTTTCCTAGATTAGTCTCTTCTCCCCTATCCTCGTCCTCCTCCTCCACCTCAGCCTCCGCTTCCCCCTCATACTCCTCCTCTCCGTCCTCATCCTCCTCCTCCTCCTCCTCTTCCTCCTCCTCCTCCGTGTCGTCGGCATCATCGTCATCATCCTCGTTGTCCGCGGTCAGGTCAAAGCTCTCTAAATCCGCCTCATTCGGGTAGTACGGACTGTGGGGATGCGCGAAACGGCCAGGCATCGAGCAAGCTGCAGAACTTCGGCTGTAGCTCATGGCGCTTTCGCCGAGAGGATCGGTCAGACATGAAGTCATTTGCTGTGACGTCGGCGAAAGTGCCAGTTGGCCTGTGTTAAGGTGAATGAGTAACGAGACAAGATGATGCGCCAAAAGACGAGATGCTGGCCGGTATCGAGGCAAACCAGTCGGCTGTTCGGCCGGTGATGGAGAGGAGGACGGAGGCGGTCTGTAAGAGCTACCGAGAGATGGACAGTTGGTTGGCAAGCCGGAGAGACTTGTCCAGACGAGATTGATCAAAAGGTGCGACTGTGAGGCAAGAAGACCGGCCAGTTCATTCGACTGAGAGACGAGCATTCGGAGATACACTGGACGGATAGAAAGGCAAAATTCGGAAAGAAGAATTGGACGCGCCAGGTTGAATTCGGGAATAGTGTCAAAAAGTAATAAATAAATGAAATAGTATGATAATAATAATATGATATAGGCTTAAAAAGGTACGATAAAAACAAAAACTCTATGCGCTAAAACACTTGAATAAAGAGCCCTTTGCTCAATGTGGAAATAAATACAAAATTATATAAACATTTTAATTGAAATTTCACTCTAATTTATTTGTTTAATTTTATATGAATGAGGAATAGTGACTTGACTTAAAGTTGGATTTGGGTCTGAGTGTGTGTTAGAACAAAATGTATAAGAATGGCAGGCAAAACGACGGATGTAAATAAAGTTGGGTGAATTTCGTCGTTAATAAAGCCGTTGCAATAAAAGCGCAGAATGATAGAGTGCCAGTGAAGTGTCGATGTAAGACAGTCGAGCTAAACATTTTTGTCAGACGACAATCTATGGGTGGCAAGAAAGAAAAAATTCGACTGAGTAACTTTGGTCTATATCGTGGTCCAATGTAGCTTTCCATAGAGAATTGCTTTAGAAAAATTTTAAGCTAATTCTATTTTCCTTTTATTATGGAAATTCGAAAGTGAAAGTAAGCTTCGAGATGATTTTATGAATCAGTTCTAAGGCTTGATTGGCTGCTACCTAAAAATCCTTCCCTTTTTGAAAGGTACATGATAACGTTCATGGGGACCTCTACAGAATAAGCCTTAGAGCCAAAATAAAGAGTCTGGCTTAGTACAGGTTGATAGATCCATTGTTCAGATCATCGAGACTCTCGCAAATATCAGAACCAAAAGTTTAAGATGTAGCGAGGTCTAAAATATTTCAAACCAAAGCTGGTACTCCTTCAAGAACAATAAGAATCCTATGCCAGAAATGATAGAATATTCAATGATAGATAGATAAAAATAAATAATACATTTCTTCATACTCGAGACGGATAAAGTATAAATTGCTCAAAAGTTTTCGCTACACCGTCCATAGCTCGTTCCTTCGGTTGATGAATATCGCAAAAATAAATTGATGCGAAAAATAGTTGGATTTCAAGGAATCTTTCGGTTTATAGTATTTAGCTGGTAATTGGTAAAAGGACCGACTTCACTTGTCTCTTTGACGAGTTGTAGTGTGGTGCTAATTATCGCAAGGCTCGTCAGCGATACCGACTATGATACTTGCGAAACGTCTGAGAATATACCAAGTCCACGGTTCGACTCTGTAAATGAGCATGCATTCTATGGACTCCAGCCTAGGTGTGTTCTTCTAGGTCTTCCTGTCAATATAACCAAGTTGCAAAAATAACATCAAACAATTCCGATACGGCAAAAGGAGACTATGACCATACTAGAGGCCACACCATCTTGGTCCGCATACCTTTGATTAAATTATACTATTTTCGTTGGTATTTGGTTTTAAGACTACCAGATGATCTTGTATAGGCACCTGATTCATCCCAGTTCGTTAAAGTGGGAAAAGAGTGACAGTTGAACCTTCCTGCAATCATATGAGTATGTCTAACGTATCTACTTAGGCTTGAAATGTGAAATTTACTGAAAATTTAAGATATAATCCCTGTAAGCAAATTTCGGTCACTACAGTTCCTATGCTCTGAGCATTTGCACGAACAAATTTTTGCTTCAACCAAAACTCGGATATATATTATCTCAACTGGTGTTCAGAGTGAAATCGGTGGGTACTGATTACCAGAATAAAATCCGTTTTATGGATAAAAACAGTAAAAAATGGGGCTAAAGTGAAAATTGCAATAAGGGCTTGAAATAATCATCTGAAATAAGAATGAGTTCTAGTCTGGGAAGCAGAGTCTGTTGTCCGAATCTCGCTACTGATGATAACGGAGCAAGGTAAACCATGAGGATGCTCGGATTCAAAGTCCTGACGAGCCACAGAACGAACAGTCAGCATCCGTCTAGTATTCTAGTTGGTACGACTATGTACATGAATAGGGAACATCTCTCTACCACTGACCTCTGCTCACTTCTGTTTGTGCCTCCTGTAGTCCAAATGCTGCTGTAAAGCAAATCAATTTATACCATTGCTTCGATGACAGTTTTTGGCAAATACGTCCATCGTATGAGTCAGTACAAGTACAGGAATGTCAATTTACATCCCCTGAAGATTTTTTATCGTTAAACCAATAATAGAGGAAGCGTTATTAGTTGTTCAGCTTACTTCCACCTTCGACCTTCAAATCTCTTCACCAAGCACTTTCACTCGAAATGGAACTATGAACCAAGAGATTCGTCGAAATCCAACTTATTAGTTACCATCTCAGACAAAGCACCCGCCAGACTACCCGAAAAAAGGATGCAGTAAATTGTAGTGTATATGCATTGTAAGATTGTATAAAAGAAATTTGAATATGTACCAAAGGCCAGGTCACTTCGGCAACCTTGCCAGCCTCGCCAGTCCTCTGATGTAAACACGGCCTTGGACCGTAAGAGAGCCTACCATTCGTATAAGATTAATGAGTTTCTCCACCATGCTTATATTCAGAAGGTAAGTGAAACTTATCATATGTAGAAGAAGAAGCTAGTTACGTTTATAGATAGCCAACGCCCAGGCCTGATTGATCAGGATCCTGATTCCGGAAAACTTTCACAAACTGCATGGCATGACTGGCAAGAAATCACGTAGGATCTCTGAATTAATGGCAAAACAACACGACAATAAATGGCGTAAGTTTGGGATTATAAGACAGTGTAAGTAAAAGTCAATGCGCCAAATTGAAGTGGTTTCCGATGTGATAATAATTAGTGATAAGCACCACGAGCGAGAGGAAGTAGTGAATTTATCATCACTTCATATTGATGCCGAAACCACCACGATCTTGACTAAAAAGACATCCTGATGGAGGCTATCAATAACTCCGACAAGTTCCCTGAGGAGACAAAACGGGAAATGGAGATGAAACTAATTCCAAGGATTTTACAATATGAAGAGCCAACAGAGAAACAGATTTGCCACGATACATAATACGCTAGAGCTGAATGAATAATTATCCTTGAGGCGGACAAAGGAAGAGCTATAGTGATAATGGAAAAAAAACAATGTACAGAGAAGATGGAACATATTCTACAAGGTAGGACCACATATCGTATACTAAACAAGCACCCAAATATAAAGATTAATTGAATCTAATGTGCCATGCTGAAAGATATGCATAGGAATGGGGAAATTGACGCATGGACAATAAATTAAATCATAAGAAAGGATGCACGACTGCCAACAGCATACGGAGTACCGAAGATACACAAAGAAGGCGATCCACTAAGGCCGATAGAAAATAAGAAGTATGGAACAACACACAAATTAGCAAAGTTTATGTGTGAAACTCAAAAAATTAAATGAGAGACTATCAAACACTGTCAAACCTTCATATGAATTTTCTCAAAAAATCGAAAGAGTGACACTGTAAGAAACAGACTTATTGGTAAGTTTCGATGTGAAAACGATGTATGCAAATATCTGTGGAGAAAATGCGCTAACGGCCCTGCTGGAAATGTGGACCTAGAGGAGGATATCCTGAAATCACAACGGATCAGGAAAGAGTAGTTACCAAGACTATTTAAGTTGACAATATGGACAACCTATTTTACGTTCAACGAGACCATATATCAACAAATATTTGGACTTCCCATGGGATCGCCACTCTCACCACTTTTGGCAAATGTATACAAAATAGAAGAGAGCTCCAAGCTGGCAGTGCTACAATCGGCAGTGCTGATGTGGTACCTGGATGATTATTTTGCACTTTGGTCACACGGAAGAGAAAACTAGAAGGGTGTCTAAAGTTTCTAAACGAGATTGATGAAAAAATTAAATTCACGATCGAATTAGAAAGAGGTGAGCAGTTACCGTTCCTGGACGTTGAAGTGATTTGCTCTAATGAGACGCTCAAAAATAAATTGTTCAGAAAGAAGTCCTATGCTGGGATAATATTCAATTTCCAGACCCATCCCAATTACAGGCTGAAGATTGGAATATTGAGGAGAATGATCATCAAAAGCCTATGCTTAATGTATGTAGAATTCTGGGACGAGGAGCTGGACAAATTGACGAGGATATTCTTCCGCAATGGCTACCCAATAGAAGTGATACAAAGAAATCTACGGGCCGTGCAAAACCGATGGCAGAACAGGGACTATGAAAGAACAGTAAGGACGATGAAGGCTTCACAAAAGAGGATATGCCTACCTTCCTGCGAGCTAAATCAAAATCAACGGCCTATGTTGGGGAAATGGAATATTCGGACGGCCATGAAAGAAAAATCAACACTTTTCACAAATCTACCGATGCAACATGAAAGCTTGTTCAGGAGTTCATTAAATATGATGCGGCGCATGCAAACAGAAATACATTGGCGAAACAGGGAGAAAAATTAGCACACGAATCAAAGAAAATGGATATCGAAAGATCAGAATTAGTGCAACACATCGCACAGATTAGACACGAGATCAATTGAAGAGTAACAGAAAGAAGGGCCTCAAACGGCGACAACACAAGGAAACCGAAAAGAGATACTTGGGGAAAAAGTAATAAACAGGAGATTGGAGGAAGGTAGAGTTTGCGATAACTTTGCCTACTGCTTAAGCAAACTTTGGAAAAACAAGAATATAGCAATACCAGCATAAAGGAGACGCCTGTATCAAGGATCTATCGCTGACCGGAGGAAAAATATGAAGGGGAGATTTCGGAAATCAAACAAAGGCATCATCAGTGAAAGATGTCTGTTCGAAGTAAACCTGTACAAATTTGGGGGCCTGGCCGTCAGGGAGCTAGGCCGACGGATAAGCAAACCGTCACAGAAGTTCGGCGCTTTGGCCAAAATGTACTAGAAATCCACTT